AAATCTATTTGTCTTTTATATACTACTCCTCGGAGTGTATATAAATCTTATTTGTCTTTTATATACACTCCGAGAGTGTATATAAAATCTATTTGTCTTTTATATACACTCCCGGAAAGTTGATAGGGCATTCGAATGATCTGTCGCCGGTGCTAAGACCGTGCGATCGGCTGGGTTATCCAGAGTCACCAAAGGGACCGGGGCGAACCCCGGGTTGGTCTTGGTCTGATAAATGCACGCCAGACCGTGAGGTCGGCGCTTCTGCCGCATGTATTAGCTCTAGAATTACCACAGTTATCCATGTAGGATGTGACGATCAAAGGAACCATAACTGATTTAATGATCCATTCGCAGTTTCACTGAGACAGTTTAAACTTGCACGTGCATGGCTTAATCTTTGAGACAAGCATTTGACTACTGGCAGGATCAACCAGGTAGCGAGGACGCCAGGGGCGGGCGACCGGTCTCGCTGCCGCCACCGGGAGCGGAGGGTCCCGGGCCCCGCGCAAGCGGGGCGGGGCGGTCCGCTCGACCGAACTTCGGTGGAGATTTCCGTGTTGTTCTCTGATTTTCATCATCCACTAAGATAAACTTGAACACCGAGGTTTAAACTTGGTGCCCCTGAATCCTCAAACACTCACAAAAACCCAGGTTTTGGGCCTACCAAGGAGCCAGTATTTCGGAGTGTATATAAAATCTATTTGTCTTTTATATACACTCCGGGAGTGTAAATAGCCACGCCGTTTTTGGAATGTGCAATGTTCCATTTAACTGTCAAGATGTAAAAATTGCAAGGTAACGTACCACAATCATACCAAACACTAGAAAAGTTACAAACTTGTAATTGTTTATATCCAACCTGTTAATATTTATACTAAAGTGGTGATGATTACATTGAGAGCATAATAAAACTGAGAATTAGGCATCATCCATTTGTGTTACCTTCAACTGACGGCACCTTAATTATACTAATTTACAGAAAACTGTAACTTACCTGGTGTCATTGAAAGGAACAACAACCTTACACTAAGTTACAGCGAATATTTTCCTATAAACAGTTTATTTATCCTGAAATGGTGATGATGACATTAAGAGCAGTCATCATCAATTTGTGTTACCTTCAATCAATGTATGAAAATTTCAATGTATTGTCAAAATGTCATTGTACAACCTTACAGTGTATATTTCCCTGCCCAAACTGCTATAACAGTTTATAAACACGGGCATGTTTACATGTTGTTCCCGCCATGGCTGCAGCCGACACTAAAGCCATTTGTCTGTGTCACATTCTGAACGGAAACCTGGAATCCTGTGACTTCTCCAGACAGGAACAGCGACAACTGTCACTCAAGCAGCTATAATAGGACTGGGAATAGAGCTTAACTACATCAGGGCTTCTTAAAGTATCGCACAGAGGTATTACAGAAGGTCTGCTGGTAAAGATTATAGCAGAGTTTTCATCATACCACCGATGGAAGATAAATAATTTTGCAACACAACTGCGGAGTGCTTTTCTGTATAACTATATTAAACGTCCGCTCAGGTTCTCTCTCTCACAAATACACGGATGTCAGACTAAATAAGAAAATAAACAAACACCACACAGCGTCCCACACGCGGTAAGACCTCCGTGTCGCCATGATTTGTACAAAAATATGAAATGAAAACCGAATCAATACGTGGCCGTCTCCCCTCACCTCGAGAGGTCGAACATTCGCCTCTTCCGGCTGGCTGCGAGCTCCCCCTCCTCCTTCTGTTCCCGACTCGCCATGCGGGTCGCCATCGCTGCGTCAAGACGTCTCAAGACGTCAGTTCGATCATAAGGAAGTCCTTGAGACGTTCTCCTCACTCCTCCTGAAGGACTGCGAACTCTACCGAACACTGCGGTGTCCTTCAGAGAGATCCAGCGCCATTGAATTGGGAGTCATTTATTTTTGGCAGATGGAGCGGTGTAGAACTCGTTTTAAAGGCGGGAACTGCTGTTTTCTCGTGCCACAAGGCTAGCAGACGGTCGGGTCGAAGTGTTCCTGTGATATCACGGAGTAAGAACAGCGGAGAAAGTTGTAAGAGCCTCTGTTTTGAGGCCGAATGTTGCTGTTGTGATACAAGGCAGCGGCCATCTTGGAAATCAGGGTGACGTCATCGCAAGGGAACCTTGGGGAGCTGGACTGTACCAATAATTTATAGGGAATAGAGAAATAATATTGAATTTATTTGAAAAAGCAAATCTTTTTAACGAGCTCAATAAATACATATTAATAAATTAAATAAGTTATATATAACATTGAGAAAATATTTTGTCAAAAAAAGCAATTTTAATATACCAATAAATTGTATCTCAATAAAAAAATGACCTTTACTGATGGTACGCTCCATATTGATTTTTTTAAGGCTACCTTTTCCTAATAACGATTTTGTCATCATGTAATGATGTATTGTTTTGACACGGTGCGGGCGCGATGGTAGAAGTGTAATGCCTTACAACTAGTCTGCACTTTTGAATTTTTTTCAGGCTCACTGTTGACATGATGAAGCATTTAATAGCAAGTTATAATAATGTTATGGGAGCCAGACTATGCAAGCCTTGTAACCAGACTTTTGAGATGAAGAATTGTTATTTCTTTGGATATGAGCTATCCATTGCTCTGCATGGTCGACAAGAGTTGTCTTGGAGCCGGGCTATACAACTAGCTGTGGTATTTTGTTAGAAATATTAGCTTCGATTCGATCAGTTTAAGCTTTTTTTTCTTTTAATTATGAAGAGAGGAGACAAGACAAGGCTATATTGGATCTTAGCAATCTTGTTTTTTGGGACCGCCTTGTTTTTTTTTTGCCCTATCGCATTAGTTTTGGAGTTTGTGTATGATGTCATCCATAAAACTGACTTGCTGCGGCCTAACACGATAGGTTGACTCCTACTCTATAAGCAGGGGTTTGGATTTTGACTTTCTATTTGAGGCGTGTTTTTAGGCTTTTTATTGGGCTTTCTTTCTTGCAGTACTATTCTTTGAAATTTTGGGTTGATGTAGAAAAGTTACCAGTGCAAAAAAAATGCCTTAAAACGCGCCCAAATAAGCCAAAACCCAAGCCCCTGCAAATGGAGTAAACCTGACCCCCCTCTAAATCTTTGGTACACTCCATTGACTTCTAACCCCCCATCGCATGGTACAAGTTTGGAAGCAAGTCCACATAAACCCTCGAGCTCCAAGACTGAAGCGATTTCTGCTTAACCCGTGGTGTTAAGACTCGGAAACGATGCCAGGAGACTCCAGAAGGATAGCCGGCCCGCAGGACAGCCGGGCTCCGCACTGGTTCGGCAGACAGCAAGAGGTAAGGACGGCACTTCTACCGCCCCCCTCCCCACTTACTCCTGACAGGTGTGAACGTGAGTGTAACATACAAGTGAGAGCTGCCAAGTGGCTAAGACTAACGTTATGCTAACTTTTGAATTGTCGACTGAACAGTCGTTTCTAAAATATATTCGTTGTATATTGATTTATAATAAATTTTCATATAAATATAAATAGCAATTTATGTTTTCATCCATTCTAGCATGGCCATATACATGTAAATACATAGCTCCATCATCGAGTCTATGGTTCTAGCTAACCCTTAACATAGATATAAGAGGGTCTGAATGGGGGGGTCCCGACAACGCTCTACGCTGAATTCGGAAACCTCTTGATTACGCTTTACAATAAATTCCAAGTGGCTACAATGCATTACGTAGAATTAAAACGGTGAATACACTCTACGCAAGATGCGCACAATTACGCTCTATGTTTAATTAGAGCGGTCGGTCCGTCTACGCTCTACGTAGAATTAAAACGGCCGATCACGCTCTATGGAAAAGGGCTTGCCCTAGAGCTGTGTACCTAAACAAATTTAAGGTACAGGTACAGGTACAGGTACACAGGTTTAGGTACAGGTCCGGACCTGAACCTGTACCTGAACAATTCGACCAATTTATATGCTCTTCTGAACTCCTTCAATAACAAAAAAAACATAAATAAACTTGATAGTTAAGGTTTATTCTTTGTTTATGGCGAATGCTCAGATAAAATATAGGTGTTTTTGTTTTCTTGAACACACTATCCTTACACAGGGACCCATTGTTAACCAGCTATTTACACATTTGAGGTCACAAATAGGCATAAAATTGGTGTGAAATTGTTTAGGTACAGTACCGGTACTGAGGGATTAGGTATTTTGGACCTGTACCTAATCAATTTTTCCGGTACAGTATCGGTACTGCGTACCGGTACACAGCTCTAGCTTGCCCCTTATAATAATGATGTTGTTCACAGTTTGAGATAACTGAGAGATTTAGAGATGAAAAGTTCCGTTTTGTTCCCAGACACACCAGGAGGCTGGTGGGACCAGACAGGACGGGAGAGGGGACCATGACCTTCGACCTGTGTGTGAGTACGATCGGCAAAGCAGCCCAAACAAAACATTTGTTACAACCCATGTACCATTGACTCAACTTGCAATATGTAATTCCATAGTGTTACAGAATTGAAAATGTATTTACCAGCACATGTAGTGACATATCAGCATGCCATCAGTCAAAACCTTTATTATAAAGCTGGGGTTGGATCAGTGTATGGGGCCTCTCCGACTCCTAGTGAATAAGGATTTTATACTTATAGTTCACAACATGCACAGTTCATGCAGATATCCAGTCCAGGTGCTCAAGGTGAATTTTGAGGCCAGGCCAGCCTGTCCTTTGCTTTCCAGCACACTAATTTTTTTGTCCATTCCCCAGACCTGCACACGGGTGTGGTTAGCCAGGCCACAGGGTCAGCCTACATGGAGATGGGACAGACCAAGGTCATCGCAGCTGTGTGAGTATGACCTGCTGACCTCTGACTCCCAAACTCTGAACCCCTGACCTCTGAACCTACTGACCTTGGTGATGACCAATTAGCAGATTCACAGTTTGAACTGCTCGTACCGACAGCAGAATAATCTAAACCAGGATAGTGAGTGAGTGAGTGAGTGAGTGAGTGTACATGTGTGATGCAGTTGAAGGTCCCTGACTGAAAAAAAAAAAAAAAAACAATGCCTGGACATGTGCTATATGATCATAAAGCATGGTCCAGACAAGAACTCTTAGGGCCTCCACGTTATTATATACACAACCCAAACAGTAAACAGCATATACAGGAACAAAGTGTTGTTTTTTTGCTGTTCATTGATTGATTATTGATTGATTAGTTATTGATTATTGATTATCCACAGATACGGACCCCGTGAGATCTCCCACCGTGAAGAGTTCACCATGAAAGGCAGACTTTACTGTGAGCTGATTGATTGATTGATTATCGATTGATTCATTGATTGATTGTATCCACAGATACGGTCCTCGTGAGATCTCCCGCCGTGAAGAGTTCACCATGAAAGGCCGACTTTGCTGTGAGCTGATTGATTGATTGATTATCGATTGATTCATTGATTGATTGTATCCACAGATACGGTCCCCGTGAGATCTCCCGTCGTGAAGAGTTCACCATGAAAGGCAGACTGTGCTGTGAGCTGAAGTTTGCTACGTTCTCCTGCAGACAGAGGAGACAGCATATACAGGTGAGTTTTCTACTCTAGTTTATTTTGTATAGCTGCAATTCTTGATTTTTTCACTGTACTGTTATGTTCACTGTTTTCACTGTCACTTCTGTACCGTGAACTTATCAATACAGTTAACAAATAATTCCTGGACTTCCTTTTCCTTCACCTGTTGCCTCTGTGAATATATAGTTCCTTGAACATGTCCATTTTTCTCAGACCGTGAACTTTAGCAGCTACCGTGAACATAAAGTGAATCACAGTATTAACTGGATGTGCTATTGGGATGTCTAAGCCATGTTTAACCCAACACTTCTTGTTGTTGTCTATTTTTCAGGATAACCAAGAGAGAGACGGATCACTGATAGTTCTGCAAGCTTTGGAACCAGCTGTGTGCCTGGTAAGCATTATAACATCAACACTAGCCTGACTACATCATGCTTCTAGCACCCGATGTTGGTATGCAGGAAAAATGTATTTTGAGCCCAGACAGAGATGATGTGAAGTTGTGTTTTTGTGTTTCAGGACAAGTTCCCCAAGTCTCAGGTTGACGTGTACATCACAGTGTTACAAGATGATGGCAGCGGTGGGTTGCTTTTATCAATAATGTCCTTTTTTTATGTTTTTGCTCAGTTTCCTCTTCTTCCTCTCCAAACACATTGGATATCACCATGGTAACTGGTGCTGTAGCAGACACTCTGTTGTGTTGGATTACATTATGTAAAAAATGGCAGGACGGGGAGGGGGTGTAGTGGTGAATGTTTAAGAGTAAAAATAAAGAGAGCAGTACTAGTAGTTTGATAGGCTAGACCAAATGAAGGTCTTGTATCCCAATTTTACTGTTTGTATGTGACTGTTGTGTTTTGTTGTGTAAAACAGGGACCCATTGAAAAGAAGTGCAATGGGCCACCCTGTATAAAAATGACGCAAAATAAAATAAAATTAAATGAAAAGGTAAACATTATACATTTACTTTGAATATGTTACATTTCTAGTTGTTACAGTACATGACATGTTGTTATGCCAAAAAGCAGTTACTCAAGCAACTGGATATGATTTTGGAAACGGTCACTGACAGACGTTTCACGCTACTACTGGTGTGAAAAATGGAGGTATTGTTTTTTGTGACACTGGAGAGTTGCCAGAAAAGCATATTTATGAGTACGATCTATTTATTGATTGTGACAATTCTCCAGCGTCACTGACGAAAGGTAGTGGATACTAGCTGAAACGTCTGACCGTTTCCAAAATCATATCCAGTTGCTTGAGTAACTGCTGTTGGGCGTATCTTATTACCTGGATGTCTAGCCTTCATGACATGTTGTTGTTGTTTATGTTTACAGCGTTGGCAGCTGCAATCACCTGTGCTGCGCTGGGATTGGCCGACGCAGGAGTCATGATGTACGACGTCGTGGTGGGATGTTCCGTGGTAACCATGGTTTCCTTCATGTTTCATATTTATTATCATTATTATTACAATATTTTGTTCTTTTGCCAATCAGGTGTGAATTCTTGTAATTAATATTAAGACATTTTCATTAAACCAAACTTTGACCCCCTGTTATACATGTAGTAACCCAAACTTACAAATCAGTTTATAAGAGGAAATTCATAAAAATGTACAAGTCAGATAACCTTCTGTACTCTGGTTGACCTTGACCCCTGACCTGTTCCAGAGACAATGTGGAGAAGACCAATGGTTAGACCCAAGTGTGAGGGAGGAGTTCAGGCCAGAGGTGAGATCATGTTTCTAAGTAATAATCCTTCTTACACCTTTTAGTGTATGCATGTAGACAGTTCCCATCTCCATTTTCAAAGCCTGTGTTTTATTCTATATGTACAATAAGCATTCTAGAATAAAGCTCTGTTTCCTCTTCTTCTTCTCCAAACAAATAAGGTCAATGACCTGAACCAGACAGTCTATCACCATGTAACTGGTGTTGGGTTACACCATGTTGCAGTTTTATAGCAGGAGGGATTTAGACTCCTGTCACCTTTTTATAAAATTCAATGTGTTTGAGTAAGAATTAACCATATGAAAAGGTAAACATAATATGCATTTGCTTTGTAAAGGTTATTTTCTATGTAATTTATATATGTTATGTCAAACTGTGTATTATGATGCTGTATTTCAGGTAGAGAGTGCAGGTGACCATGGGATGGTGACGGTGGGGCTTCTGCCTTCCCTAAACCAGGTGTCGGCTCTCGTGTTAGATGGACACCTGCAACAACAAACAGCTGTACAGGTAAGCAGATGTTTGTTTGTTTGTTTGTTATTCAGATGTTGACTGTGGTCCTAGACAGCATTGCATTGTGTGTGCGTGTGTGTGTTGGGGAATCACAGATACATACTCATCCCCCCCACATATACACTCATACACACACACAGACATGCACACATACATGTATACAGACATACACTCAAATGCACACACACACACACTCACTCACTCATATGCACACACACACATACACTCATATCGGCATACACTCATATGCACACACACACATACACTCATATCGGCATACACTCATATGCACACACACACATACACTCATATGGGCACACACACAGATGCACAGACACACACACACACAAATACACACACACAAACACTATGAGTGTTTGGCGCCCGAAATCAGCTATGCTGCCTGGGTGGCCAGTGTATTGTATCGTCACAATCGAATTAAAATTAAAATAAAACAAACACTAACACACACACAAACGAACAAACACACACCTACCTACATACACACACATACAAAGAAACAAAACAGATGCACTCACAACTTCACTTTGTTTGTAATAAATTAAAATGTGAAGCACCCAGAACACTCCTCAGAAATCTTGAAGACAAGTGTTCTCCTAAGACATTTCTTGCATCTCCAGGCTGTTAAGACGTGCATCAGTGGCTGCCAAGGAATCTACCCGATCCTTAAAGACTGTCTGGTGTCGTCTACAAGGAGGAACGTCCCTTCTTTGGAGCAGAAGTCAGGCCAGACCAGCACAGATGGACAGAATGGGCAGACATGAGACTTGGAATAAAATCTGACCATGGAAGGGGGAGGGGGGTCTGTTCTAATATAATATAGCAGATTATATCTTGTATGCTAATAATGACACGTTTTCCAGTGGATAATAATAGTTAAGTCACAAACTATGTTCCCAGATTATAACATACATGGTAAACTATGCATTTCTTGTCTTGAAAGTTCAACCTCCTTAGTTTAAACTGTAACTTAATTTTCAACGTAAGAAATTGGACTGAAATTGTACAGTTGGTCTCATTGTTCCATAATTTCAATGAATATAAAACATGGAAGTGATGTGCAAGCACCATCTTTACATAGTTGTTTTTCTATTCTAACATCAAGAAAAATTACAATTTGGACAAATCGGGTTAAAATTGGTCTATAATAAACAGTATGATACAATTAAAACAAATTTCTTGCAATAATGAAATCATATGTTGACAATAAAATAAGGGTTGTCATTATTAAAAGGTAGGTTTAGCTATTTATTCATCTATTTTTACATTCAACATTCTAAAAACTTTATGGCGAGACGCCACCTGTCTGTTCTGGGCAGAACTACAGCCCTGACGTAGCCGTTACCATGCCGACGCACAACAAACAAAACAAGCAACCGCATCCAAACGCTCAAACCTCCCTCATACACATATATTCGTGATATTCAGTTAATAAAACTTTATTTGTGAATACGCATTCATTTATACATGTAAATTTAATGCGTTGGTATTTATAAAAGGGTATTTGCGGGTATTTCTTAAGATAACTTTTTTCGTGTTTGGGGAAGAAGTGTGAGTTGCGTTTGGGCGCGGCCTGTATGTTCAAAACTGTCCAAGATGGCGGCGAGACAGCCAGTGGCTAAAGGCGGAATGTGGAACACACAACAAGCTCAGTACAGTAAGGAGACTCAGGAACTGCTCAAAGGTTGGTCTGTAACGAGTTAAGAACTTAGGGAAGCGTCTGGATATAAAACTGTTGTCGTTTTGGGCCGATTTTCGACGGAGTGGTGTGTGTTTGGTAGCGTCTATCACTCAGATATATAAACAAACTCGTGAAGTCAAGACGTTCCTTTGATTGAAATCCTTCTAACTTGTAAATGAATTTGTAAAACTGTTTAACCATTTCTGGCTTTTGCTATTGATTGTATATGTTAAGTGCGTTTTCTATCAATTTTGAGCCCTTGTAAGAAGTAAGAACTTGTGGTACGAGATAAAGTAATAGCTGGTGCGACGATCAACTCATAATCTACTCACTGTTATGGCAATCGCCAAAAAACAGTTACTCAAGCAACTGGATATGATTTTGGAAACGATGTTTCAGCTAGCATACCTTTTGTCAGTGACACTAGAGAACTTGTGCAGAAATTCAGGTTTATAAGCACACAAACTATTGATTGATGTGCAAATAAGTGAAGACAATTTTTATCATAATCATTTGTTTTGTTTTGAATCCACAGTTATGATGCAGGAGTCGAAGTTGACAAATTTCCAGCAGAGAAAACTGAACCAGACCATGAGGGGTGAGATTTTATTTTGAAGTATGGTGGTCTGTGTTGTTACCATGTGTTAATGTTATATTTATGTTATTGTGTGGCAGTTACTTTTTTATATTGTATCATTGTATTATGTAATGGACCACTGGAAGAATAGCTGATAAGCTAAATGTGGATCTAAATGAAGTCAAAGTCAGAGTTTGTATTACACAGACTAATAATGCCATATTCATAATATTTTCAGTTTTGATGCTCTAAACTATAATTATAATAACGACCTGTTCCAGCCGGTGGGACCCTCCCGCTGAACTGCCCTCCCACCAGCAGTCAGCGACCCCAGCGACCTTCCGCCCCCGTGACCCCCAGCAAGAAGGTCAACCCAAGGACGTATGCGGGAGGTCGGAGGTCAAAGGAGGCGTGTGAAAACTCTCCAGCTGCCCAGCCAGAGGATTACAGACCCAGACCTAAGAGTTAGTTCTGATCTTTTGTTTTAGACTTTGCAGAAGAAAAGTGCCTTGTTTTTGCCCAGTTTCTTCTTCCTCTTCTTCCCCTGTTCCAAACAAATACCGGTAAGGTCAATGACCTGAACCGGACATCTGTCACCATGATAACAGTTACTAACTGGTGCTGCAGCAGACATCCTCTGGTGTTGGATTACATTATGTAGCAAGTGGCAGGACAGAGTTGGAGGCTACAATATAGGTGCTGGTCACATACAGTTATATGAATGAGCAAGAATAGAAAACAGAGCAGTAGTTTGTTAGGCTGAACCACTGAAGGGTATATAATATAATATAGACCATTGCTTTGCAAAGGTTACTAATTCTAGTTTTGTTTTGTTTGTAATTTCTTGTATTTACAGAGGCAGTTTGCACAGATAAGGAGAAGGCACGATTAGGAAACCTGATGGCATACGGAGAGGAGCCTCCTGAAGTGACGCCGGCACGGATGGTCGAGTTACTGAGTCCTGAACCAACTATCGAGAGGGACAGGTTTGAAGAATGTAAGCACGGAAAATCTAATAGTATATGCTTTTTTTGACAGTTACTGTTACAGATATTTGTTAGTTTATTTGCATATATATATGTACTAGCCTGAGTGTCAGCCTTGTTAGCTTTCATCCGCTCCCTAAGATCCGCTAACAGGGCTGACACTCAGGCTCTTTATATTATAGTATTGATGTATAAGCAAATTTTGCTTTTTGCCTCACACTCAATAAATACATGTGAATATATACAATGAAATTACCTGTACCTAGTTCCATTCTCATCTTTCAGCATTGATGATTCTGATTTCCTTTTTTTGTATGTTGTTCTCTAGTACAAGCAGAGATTGAGGAGAGGGCAGAATTCCTGGAGGAAATGGAAAACCTGGGACGGGGGAAAGATTACAGAACAATCATCCGGACTGAGATATCACAGGTAACATAACACAGACAAATGTATACCCAAACACCCAGATACATACACTCACAAATACACACACACACACATCCGCAAGAGATATCACAGGTATCTGTATCAGTATAGCCGGTATAACCGCCCTTCGGCGCAACACACAGAAAAACATACAAAGACAGACACACGCGCACACACACACACACACACATACATACACACAATTGCGTGCACACACATGAATCCTATTGGAGTTGGTAAATTTTTGTGTGTGTGTGCACATGCTTAAAAGACAAGAACTCACAACATTGATTCATGTCACTTTAGATAAATAGAGATTGAATGAAACTTGTTATAAAATGTTCAACTGATTTTCATCCTTTTTCTTTCCACCTCAGAAAATCCGTGAAATGGAGGTGATTGACAGAAAACGGACAGAACAGCTGAAGAAGCAGATCGAACTCCAACAGAAGCAGTCTGATCAGAAGAGACACCTGGCAGAACAGGCAGAAAGTGCAGGCACTTCTGGGCTTTGATTAGGCTGTACACTGTGACACTGGCCGGGGGTTTTCACAATGACAGTGACATTTTATTGCATATCCATGCTCAAATGGGGCTAATTGCAGTAAGTTAGATACAAGAGAGTTATAAGGAAACTATGCTACTACGAGTTGGGGTGTGTAGAGAGTGTGTCTGGTTAGCTTTGAGTGCATAAATGGTATGTTGAGCAGTTGTAAGTGTACAGATTTGTCCGTAAAATTCAGCGTTGTATAATATATATCCTGGGAGCTCAATCATGCACTTCTATGCACCAGAAATCGGTCCTGCCCACCTAATTTCTGGCGGTGGGATGTGTGGGTACACCTAGATATAATTGAACAGGGAGAAAGAGTAGCTTTCCAATGATATATAATTTTATGCATGATAGGTAGAAAATTTAAGTGACAGTATCATGCTTTGTGTGTATTACGGTGATGTGTTAAAGGTATGAGTTAGTAATAATAACCCTTCCAAAGTTGGGTGTCCTTTTTCTTTGAAACGCCCTCTGCATGCTACCTTGTACTCTGTGACTACTATGTACTAAATATGTATGTGTATTGTAAACTGCAGTGTTATGAAATGTTATGAAAGTTAGATAGACAAATTGAAATACACAATGAACATTTTTGAACACAAATATTGTTTCTCTCATTATTCCATGTATTTTACATTCATCTGTTATTGTACAAAGAGCTACTAACAAAGTACCTTGTACATGAAACTATATGAATTAGTATCAGGATGGGGTCACCAGTGACATTGAAAAAACAGTGAGTTTAAAGGCATCTATTTAATGCAGGATCGGTAATATATACATCCATGACATTTAATTTCATGTGGTGACCTTAGCTATTGTGGACCTAAAGTTACTCTTTTCTACATTATTAAACAACTAAGTTCAACCACCCATCACCAACCATTATCAAATTTATTTTAAATGGACACATGTAATTAACATTTTCAACAAGAGTTACTACTAACTTTATATCTGATTCAGTAAGTGCAATTATCCATCACCAACCACTATCACACTTACTAGTATTACATTTTTACCAGAAGTTAGACTCCTTGATATCAGTAAGTTTTTCCCAAACTTTGCTTTTCTGATTCAGAATCTGAATTGAGGTCTGACCTTATAACATACATGTACATTATCATAGAGGGTGTCTAACCTATGTGCTCCTGTATGCAATTGTCCATTCTGTACAATTATGCAAGTTTTTGGTGCACCTTTTTGGAGTGGTTGTGCAGCAGTGTTGACTGAAGCCTTTTCAGCATAATTATCTAGGGTGCCTCATTTATGTGTTTCTGTACGTAATGCACCATCATGCAAGTTTTTCATGCTTTTTTTCTACATGTAGTAGTCCATTATGCGAGTCTTTGGTGCACCCTTTTGGAGTCAGGTTATGCAGTAGAGTGGACTGTTTGAATCCCTTTCCCAAAATTTTGCAGACGTACAGAATTTTTCTTGTGTGTCTGTGCATAGTCCTTACTGTACCATTACCCAAGTTTCTGGTGCACTTTTTTGGAGTGGTTATGCAGCAGTGTGGACTGTTTGAATCCCTTCCCACAGATTTCACAAACGTATGGAGTCTCCCCAGTGTGCTGCCGCATATGACGGTCCATCGAACACTTTTGTGAGAATCGGCGGTCACAGAAAGGACAGTGGTGAGGCTGACTCTTGTTGTGTGTAAGTTCGTGTCGCTTCATGCTGGAGTACTGAGCGAACACACGGCCACAATCCTTACACGCATACTCCTTAGCACGAGTGTGGATGTTTTCATGCACCTGAAAATAACAAGAACTAGTCATCGGAAAATAGTTTCATCTGGTTGGTTTAACATAGGATACATGTATTTGGGTTTCTTTTACCCTACATTGTAAAATAAAACAACTAATAGTCTAAGAAATAGTCATGCCTGAAACTTGAAGTTAAAGTATCAAGAGTCATCAACCAAGGATTGAGTGGTTTGAAAACTTGTTTTTCCCTAGAACTACAATGTATCGTGTTGAGTGAAACTTGCTACCACCAAGTACAGTAGGGGCATCCATACCAGATAGTTCAAAGATTACATGTTACAGATAGATATAGATAACAAGCAGAGATTTCACAACTGAACAAAAATACATGTAAAAATATAGATTGAAGAACAGAAACTGGTACAGAGGTGAAAGGTCCTGTAGATGTGCAGTATGGTACCTGGTAGTTATAACATGAATGACAGTTACTGTATTGAATATTATTGCAGCCCAGCTATGACTAAACAAAAAAGCAGTAACACACTGTCAAGGTACCTGTAGATGTGCAGCATCCTTGAAGCCCTTCCCACAGTGTGTACAGAGATGTGGAGTCTCGTCTGAGTGGATCTTGGCGTGTTTCGTCAGTCGGACCTGCTGTTCGTAGTACGTGTTACACACCGCACAGTGCCACGGGGTTTCACCCTGCAAGGAACAATAAAATATCATACTATCATAAAAGTCAGGCCTCGAAATTAATTTTTTTCATAATGTCCCAGCACTGTCCCAAAAATAAATTTCAGTTGTCCTGAAGTGAGGATGAACTGTCCCAACCTGTTTTTTGGATTTGAAGTCAACTTTATTTTGCTTACTGGTATGTTCACTCCCAAGTAGACAGGAAATTTGGGGCAACTTTCCTGGATCAAAATGCCGGGACGTGTGCCTGATTAACAAAAGAAGGGCTGACATTCTGATGTTGATAATTTGTATTGTCCCAAAAATGTCCCTAAGTGTCTTTTTAGTTGCCCCAACCTAAATTTTAGTGGTTAGTGGCCATTGGACCACCTTTAATTTCGAGCGCTGGGTTCTACCAGCTATACAGATACATTACATAGAAACAGGTACCTTTGAAACGTGCCCGTCGATGTGCGCCCGGAATGCCGTCATGGCTGGGAACGTTGCCTTACACACAGGGCAGGCATGGGTCTCGTCGGCGCTGCAGTGTTGTGCCACGTGCTTCGCGTACTGGCTCAGGAATTTCAACATCTTCCCGCAAACTCCGCAGGTAAATCGGAACTCCTTCTCTCCGCGGCAAGTCACAAGCTCGTGCCGTTCGCAATTTTTCTTCGATGCGAAGGATTTTCCGCAAACCGAACATGAAAAACTTTGCTCGTGGGTTGTTAGGTGCCGCTGGAATAAATGAATGAATACGTCGGTGAAGGTTAGACATTCAGGTAATAAGATATGCCAAAAAGATATTCAAACTATGTTTCCATTAAAACGTACATTGTACTATAAAAAGAGTAGGGGACCTTCCCGTGTGAATGGTCCAAATCTTACAGTCCGGTCTTACGCAGCTTTTACATGTACGCACATGTACAAAACTGGTGTGTTGCACCTAAACGCGGTTTACCGGTTATGTGAAACAAACAAAAAAAGAAAACAAACAAAAACCTGGAAGTCGGTTTCCTTCAGGAACTTCTGTCCACAGACAGTGCAGGTGTGTGCAGTACCGTCGTGCAGTGCTAGGTGGCGCTGCAGGTACAGCATGGACATGTACTTCTTCCCACACTGTTCACAGGTGTAGTGCTGCGCTGGCTTTCGGATCAGGTTTTTTTCACGGCGGTACAGGCTGGAAATATAAACAGAGGGAGAAAAGGGGACTGGGTTAGAAATATCCAAGCTTGAACTTAATTCCCTGCTTTCAGCCAATATTTTGTTCATAGTGACATACATGTAAAAAATGTAACATGTTTCAGATTTCAGTCCTGAAAAAAAACGGTCCGTTTGTAGGAAAGTTTTCAGTCTATTTTTCGCCTTCTTCTCTTTTTTTAATGATCTGATTTAAAACTGAAATGCCTCAAAACCAGTGTATATTGTCTCTATGATCCGTTTGGTTGTGTGAAAGAGACACCCCCATGCATTCATAACTAAAAATTGCCTTTTGGAAACAGAAAACGCAACCTTTGCTTCCGTGTCTCACCTTGACTTTTGTTTCTCCTCCTCGGTGATCTGATCTGGGTGCAGCCGGTACTTGTGATCCATGAGATCTGCAGAGATCCAGGTCCGGTGGCCACAGATCTCGCACACGTGTCTCTTCAGGGCCGGATCATGGACCTTTGCTACATGACCTGTGAAGGCAAACACAAATTGTTACTCCCTCTAAGGCAGAAACTCCCTGTGGCAGCACATGCAGGAACTGTGTACATTGTCACAACACATTTTGAAATTTTGAGACCACAAGAAACTAACAGGTATATATTAGTATGTCAGTGAAGGTTAGACATCCAGGTAATAAGATATGCCAAAAAAACAGTTACTGATTCAGAAGCAACTGGGTATGATTTTGGAAATGGTCAGTGACACTAAGAGACCTGAATGCTACCTGAAACGTCTGACTGTTTCCAAACCATATTCAGTTGCTTGTCAATGAGTAACTGTTTTTTTGGGTACTAGTATGTCTTTGTGGCACTGTTGATACAAACAAACCTTGTAGCTCCTTCTTATGGTTGAATCGTTTCCCACAGTAGTCACACAGACAGGAATTTGTGCCTTTGTGCCTCAGAATATGAGCTCTCAGCGACAACATGGACTTAAACATGGCCCCACACTCGTCGCACTTCAGTTTCCTTTCGCTGTGGACGAGTTTTCGGTGAGCGTTGAGGGTGTGGAAGGGGGAGATGGGTTTGTGGCACTGCTGACACCAGGAGCGGCGCGACTCGTGCAGCAAACGGACGTGTGCATTCATGTGGAACCTGGGAGAGAAAAACAACATTAACAAATTTATTTTCTTAGCATGATAGTTCATGGTAGTTCACCTCATAAAGCCACCTCGTTCACTGCGCTCACTCGGTGGCTTCATTCAGTCGTTATAGCAACTGACAAGGCTTTATCACACCATATTCACCTCGGGGCGGGTCATTAACCCTTAAGTAAAAGATGCAAAACGGGAAGCTAGTAGAAGAACGGTTGATAAATACTGGACCAGGTATATTTCGAGTGTCTTCACTATGAGTATGATTTATAAATTTAAAACAGATTAGTGTCTGTTAATAAAGAAAAAAACAAGGGGACAATATGAAAGAAATGCCATACTCAAAGGAGTGATTGTCTAGTAGTACATATTTCATGAATGAACAAACAATTTTCCAGTATATTTAGTAATTCCCAAACCTTGTAGGCATGGTCTGTGCACAGTACAGGCACTTCTGTAGGTCATGGAACTGGTGACACTCCTCCAGGTGGGCCCTCAAGTCTTCCTCCTGTCGGAAGCACGTCTTACAGACAGTACACAGGTGAGGAGTGTACCCCAGGTGTGACAACAGGTGTGCCTCCAGCAGGTGGATCTGGTAGGAAGGAGGGAAGGAATGAATGAATGAATGAACAAAATAGCACCCCAGTGAGATTCCTGCAAGGGTCATACATTTTTTTAGTTGATCAACCTTTTTAAGCTCCATGATCTGACACCTGAGTGACAAAGACTGAGGACTGAAACAGGAAACACAACTTTTTTTTTCTAGATTATCATGAAAGTTCATCTGTGTTGGTAGTAATCATAGTAAAACGTTGAAGTTTATTCCAACACACAATTGTACAGGGATCAAATTTTCATTTTGCCTTCATCAGGATAATTAATGACCAATCACTTCATGACGTGATCTCGCAAGAGTTACCGTTTACAAACACGTGACCTTATTCACACGATACTGAAAATTTTATGTGTGTTGAAATAAAGTTCAACGTTTTACTAAAACTTAAAACAGGTAAGTTTGCGTACCTTGTAGAAGAGCTGATCACACTGTGGACAGATGAAGGACACGATGCCGTGAGATTTCTCCTCGTGTCGCGCCAGACTCACCGGACTGGGCAGCCAGTCTCCGCAGGTCGTGCAGTGATGTCTGTCGCTTACGCCTGACAACGGGTTGCCATGGTTACCGTTACCATGGTTACCGTTTACTACATCGTCTTGGTGACTTTCCTCCTCCTCCTCGACAACTTCTGGATTCTTCTCAACAGGTTTGCTTCCCAAGTCTGTATCCTGCTCTAGTTGGTTCTCAGGTGTTTGTACCTCGTTTTCTGTTCCACTCTTCACAAGTTTGCTTCCTGAGTTGTCCGTATCTGTTTCCTCTGCCATACCGGAAAGCAACTGTGCATTTTGTTGCAGAATTTCCCCAACTTTCTCTACTTCACCCTCCACATTTTCTGCTCCATCCTTCAAAAGTTCTCTTCCTGAGTCGTCTGTATCCATCTGTTGTCTCTCTGTTATTCCATAGACTGATTTTGCCATCTGCTGCAAAATTGCCCCAACTTTCTCCACTTTACCTTCCACAGTGTCGGAAATGGTGGTACTAGTGGGCCTGTTCTCAGAATATTGCTCATTTCCTCGTTGTTCTGAAGGTGTAGAATGTGAGATGCTTTTCGAGTTAACCGCTGTTCCAGACTGTGTTAAGTTGGACTCTGCATTTTGCTGCAGGATCGCCCCTACCATGTAAACCTTCTCCTCTTCACCCTCTACAGTACCCGAGATAGTTGTGTGAGGCTTGTTCTCAGAGCCTGGCCTGGTTCTTTGTTGTTCTGATGTTGTAGAGTCCAAAATACTATCTGAGTTAACCACTGTTCCTGGTTGCTTGTGCTCAGAATACTGCTCAATTCCTTGATGTTCTGATGGTATAGAGTGTGTATTACTTTCTGAGTTTACTACTGTTCCTGGTTTCTGTGCTTGGTTGGGCTTTGAGATGTTTTCTGAGTTTACCACCATCCCTGTTCCTGGTTTCTGTGCTTGGTCAGGCTGTGAGATGTTTCCGGAGCCAGTTTTGGTCAGCAGTGGTTGCTGTACAGGTGTTGAGTGTGCCATGGCCATGTGACGTGTCAGCTCACCTGCCATGTACACCTTCCCACACTTCACACACCTCGACTCACTGGCTGCTGACTTTTTCATCTGCAACACAAATATAAACAAACATACTAACATAGACTAAGCTTAGACATACATGTTACATGTCTGTATACATGTCCAAAGAATGGACCGCGACTGGACAGCGACAAATGGCCTAGGAAGAAATGGATAGACAATGTAAGGGAGGACTTCCGCCACTTGAACCTACATGACGTCAACCCAGAGGATAGAGGCAAGTGGCGGGCTGCCATCAAGCCTCAGCATTGCAGTGCAAGCATGTCTAACCTCGGAAGTCAGGAAGCCACAGATGATAAACCGCATAGTGAGCTAGTAGTAGTAACACAAAAGTACAGAAAAGTCCCAGAAAAGTCCAAACTCATTCACAGAAAAGTCACAGAGGAAAGAGAGTGGGTGCTTAATTTGAAACCTCTAACACTTCTGAAATTTTATCCCTTTGCTTTATTTATTCTGTCTGTACTTTTATCACAGAATACATGGACACGTCAAGTTACCTGTTCCTCAGGAAAGGTGTGCTGGATGAGCTCGTGACGTTGTAAGGCATCTCTGCGCTTGTAAGAGGCAGGACACAACTTGCACCTGGAAAGACATGTTGTAATGAGACAGGTTTTTGATAATGTGGGCTTCAAGGTTTTCTGAATATTGTTACTCAACATACATCTACACTTGCAGTGTACATGTTAGGTAAAAAAACGTAGTTCCATAGCCTGGCCCCATTTTATACCTGGGTGGAGTGAGAAAAGTGTCTTTCCTGAATGCCACCACAACTATTTATTTGTCAGCGTACAGTATGTACACCTGTCTGTTCTAAATGAATCTTTTTTTTGTTCTGTATGTTTTTCTTTACTGGGTGAAGTGAGGAAACCTCTTGCCACAGGGATCAAAAGAGTCGGCTAGCCTAACCAATCAGCCATTCAACACCAATGTTACGGTGTGTAATAAACGCATTCAAAAACAAGAATTCAGAGACCTCATCCCTCTATGAAATATGTCAAGTTTTTGTAAATGTTTTACAACGTTCACCTGAAAGGCCTGTCCTTGCTGTGGACCTCCTGATGTCTCCTTAACCAGTCCGACCTGCTGAACACCTTCCCACATGTCTTACAGGTGAAAGTGCCGAGGGTACGTCTTGCCTTCGTCTTGGGAGGAGCACACGTCTGGACGTGTTTCTTAAAGTGGTGGGCGTGACTGAAATGTCTTCCGCACTTCTCACAGGTGTGAGACTCAGAGTCAGCTGATTTCTGTAAGATAAAAAGAAAGAATTTATAATTAGTAACATTTACAAACCAAATGCATAATGTTTACTGTCGCATATGGTCTGCTCTGTTAATTCTTACTTAAACACATTCATAATCATATACTAGTATAAGGTCAGACAGGAGTCTAAATCCCTGCTGCTATAAGATTGCAACATGATGTAACACAACACTAGTTACCATGGTGACAGACTTCTGATTCAGGTTATTGACCTTATTTGTTTGAAGAAGAAGAGGAGAAGAAACAGAGCAAAAAAAATATGTTTTCCTGCGATTAACATAACATCCAAAAAATTTTTTGTGCACCCAATTTTTTAGGTTGGGTTCACCTATTCCCAAGCATGAGCTTCGAGCCCCGATGTTGTGCCTGACAGGCTGAATAGTAGATAGTAGATAGTAGATTCTTTCAGCCAGGTAGGTATCCATCCAGTTTAGGCTGAAGGTTAAGGTCTGACAGTTTTACCTCTTGTGGTTGAACTTGAAGTTGCAGGTGTTCGTCCAGAGGGTGTTCGTCGACCAGGGGCCGCTTTTGTCTCCTACGTAGAGAGTACCTGCTGTCAGCCATGGTGGGTCTGTGAACAGGGTACCTGCAGTTAGAACAAAACTCACTAGGAGGCTCTTATGTACTAGTAAACAGGGCTACTGACTGATGCAGGGAGTACCTGCCTTCAGCCATGGAGGGTCTGAATAATCTCCAAGCAGATCATACGGTGGCAAGGCAGTGACTGTGTCCATTGGCCCAAGAAGGTTAAATTTGTATTTCACCTTCTGCATTGGCCAGAGGAGTGTCCACTAGCCACCAAAGATCTGCGGACACAGAAACAAGGAGGAGCACTTCTTTCAAAAGTTGTTTGTTGTTGCCCCAAAGTCAGTCACCCGCACATATCTCAGTGGGAGTTTGGGATCCTAACAGAACCAGGCAATGCTTTCAGCTGGTACAAAAAGGTGCTGGCTAAAACATAGAAATGAATAACTAGGGTTATTGTGGTTCAAATATAAACCTTTTTATTGTTTAAACCGTCCAAAATAAAGGTCCAGTGACCCACTCAGAGACTTCCTGTAACCATGGTAACGGTCAACCAGCTGGCCCACTATGAAGGGCAATAGCCTTGCATGGTACTGGTGGTGAGGACAATAAACTACTTGGGAAGCTTATTTTGATTAGGCAACAACTAGGTGTTAATTAGGTGTTAATAGCCTTTCAACTTTATGACTGCTGGCAGATGTTGGATGGCAAATGATTACAGTCTGGTCAGTAGAAACTATATTTTGCAGCCACTGAAAAATCTGCTTGGAGATTATATATTTTAACATAATAGTTGCAAAAACATACCCCTTGGTACATGTAGTAAACATGCAGTTTACCTTTTTTAGTTTTTGCAACATATAAACCTACTAGGATTATGATTTATGGCATCACAGGCTTCTCTTGGTCATATCAGGGAGATTCTATCAAACTTCCTTGAATCATATTTTATATCATTACCCGCCACACCATTTGTTTGTGATGGTCCAAAATCATTATTCTACAGCCCAGACTTGGTGTTCACTTCAAATCACCAGTGCAGAAAAACCAGCTGCAAATGTTTGCTATCTAAGCCCCAAACACAAGACATCCCTCCCCCAAGCTAGCCGTGAGTGACCACTCTGAAGGCCTTTTGTATGATCATCGTGGCCAGTATTATTCATACAAAAGGCTACCCCCAAGCATGTAAAAGTAAGCCATGTAAAAAGTAAACAAATTCCAACACACAAATTATGTGTATTGCTAGCCTTATGTTTACCCCTAAATGCCACCTGTTCTATATAAACGCGTAACAAGTTACCCCAGTCTTACCTTCAGTAGTCCAGCACACCACTTTTCAATCCTTCACGCCTCTACAAATCCTCTCCGCTTCTTTGTCAAGCAAATATCGACCAAACAATCGTACCGGCTTTTTCGTCTTTTGTCTGTCTTGTAACAGTTGTGTTCCTTTCTCTCGACTTTCTGACGTGTTTCCTTGCGTTTCAACTTGATTTACCTTCCAGCAGAGACCTCCCAATGTATAACATAAAATTTTAGAGCCGTTTTGCACGAAATAAGTCGTAGATTTGTCCAAAAACAGGATTTTTTGACGAGGTTCACAGAAAAAGTGTCCCTCCGGCCGCCATGTTTGTCCAGGAGAGGTCAGAGTTCGCCAGGCTGGAAGGTCAAAGTTCGCCTAAACTGTCATGGCGGCGGGTCGGTTGGAAATTTTACTCAGAACGACGTAAAAACGAGAAATAACGTCAAAATCAAGGTCAAACAGCTTTTAAACGGGTGCTAAGCAGGTACATAAGCTCTTATACAACTCATCAAGGTAAGAAATAGCGTATAAATCGAAGGAATCGTGAGATTTTATTATGTTTTTGCATATGGTATGTTGGAAAAACAAGCTTGACACAAAAATAACATGTTATTTTCAAAATGCAGTCGTGTGAATGAAAAACAGTAGTTTTCACGTAATTTTTACTCAGAACAGATTTTTAAACGTACGTGCTTCTTTCTGTTGAGGTTTTCTGTGACAGTTTTTGATCACGTATAAGTTGTATAACATTTTGTAATCTTTTGTATTTATCTGTGAGACAAAGAGGGAGGGGGGCAGAATAAATAACTGGACATGTTTTACACACATTTCATAAGATAATGTGATTGTATATCACTCTTAAGTTCTTAAACCTTGTTCACTGTAACATTATAACTGGTTTGGGATCACTTACTAGTACATGTACATGTATGTCTTGTTCACTTTCCACCATGTATTGTTGTAGCAATTTAAATAAAAGAAGCTGAAGGAACTGGTTTTGTTTGTTTGTTTTACTTAGTTCTTCGACCGATAGAAAAGTTGTCAGTGAGGGGTGCACAGAAGGCTGTGTACGACAAGATGGCGGTCCCACCGCGGTGGCTGAACTGTCCACGGAAGGGACAACTTGTCGCAGGTATGTGTGGGACAGACAAGTGTAGCAGCATTTGGGATGTACAAGAGATTGGCACTGCCCTATACATTGATAGCCCGTATACGTATAACCGCCCTTCAGTGTAACACAGATTAGTAGGCATGCGGCCCGGCGGCAGCTGGCTACATTACACCTAACAACTTGTTACACCTAACCCTTGAGCATCTAACAGTACTCTCGTAAAGATTGTTTAAAGCTATCTAATGACAATGCCCCTACTGTACTTGGTGACAGCTAGCTCCACTCTGCGGTAGTTCTAGAAAACAATTCTTGAACACCTCAATCCTTGGTTGATAATTCTGGTACTTGAAGGCATGGCTATTTCTTGTTCTATTCTGAGCTGGTAGCCTGACTTTGTAGCATACATTTTTATTTCTACAGAGAAGTTCCTGCCGTTTAAGACCCCGCTGGGCCCACGTTATGATGACCAGGTTCCAGAAGAGAACAGGTTCCAGTGGCCAATGTTATTTTCTTATGTCAACGGAACCGGGGTGAGATGTCTTCTCTTTCTCTCAAGTCCCTTCTAAACATCCACATCACCTGAGCTGTGTACTGAGACAAGTCTTAATTAGGTCCAGGTACATGTGGGTCTAGGTCCAGGTCTGGACTTGTACCTATGCCATATATACGAATGCAAGTTTGACCAACGGTTCGGTTCTGGATGTCTGTCACAACAAAGTGTGACATTGGCAATGAATATATGAGAGAGGGACTGCACATGTCTTTCAAATATTTGCATTTTTATGTTTTTATTTGCATTTATACTTCTTTACATAGATTAGTGCTATGGCAGAAGAAGGATCTGTGCTGGTTGATAAGTTAACACATATATACTTATTAGTTAATATATAGATACTAGGTAGATATTACTTATTTGTTGATAATATGTTAACCCACAGATGAAGATGGGCCTGGTTATTGATCTGACCAACACAAACAGATTCTACAACAAAGAGAAGGAAGTGGAGAAAAATGGAGTCAAACACGTTAAACTACAGTGTAGGGGGTGAGTATGTGTTTGTTTGTTTCTTTTTGAAAACAACTGACCAGGTACAGTGCTCTCCAACTATTTTTATCACTGGCATTGGCATAAACCTAGGATGTGCATAAAATTCTGAAAACCCAAACCAGTTGCCATTCACTCCTAGGTTTATGCCAATGTCAGTGATGCAAATAGTTGGAGAGCACTGTATATGTAACAGTTTAAAAGTTACATACTTTAAATTTGCATCTTTAGTTCAACTGAAATGTGCATTTATTCCGTATACACCAGTGAGTAAAAGCTATAGTAACATGCTTTTGCTAGTTGACATACAATAATGACTATAATCTGGGTTGATAAGGATGATAAATCTGTTCATCACACTTTCCTATTCCTTTTTTTTAGCTCTGGCTGCTCTTTTTCATGTCATCATGTTCCTTTTCCATAAAGGGTTGTATTCTTTGTCCCCTTCTCCACTCCCCAGCCATGGAGAAACCCCGAATGAAGAACAGACGTCAGCGTTTGTGAATCTCTGTGCAAACTGGATAGCCCGGAACCCTACTGATCTTATAGGTGAAGACTCGCTTATAATTACCTTCGCCAAGAAGGTTATGTTTTTGGTGGTGTTTGTGTGTGTGTGTCTGTAAGCACGATAACTCAAGAAGGCAAGAATTGGATTGTCATAAAACTTAGTAGGTGGGTAGGTTTTTATGAGACCTTTTTGGCCCCCTGGTGGCTTGTTATGATACTGCAGCGGAACTTCCGGTTTTGATATCTCATCATCTCACAAGCTAGGGTCATGAAATTTTGGATGGTAGGTATCTCTTGTTATTATCTGTATTCATGTCTACAGGAATTATTCTGTAGGGATAATTTATATCTACATATATGAGATATCCAGGAACCCTGCATTCTCTAGTAATATATATAAAGTGTTCTCCTCCCCCTGCCCACAGGTGTCCACTGTACCCATGGGTTTAACAGGACAGGTTTCCTCATCGTGGCCTACCTGGTCGAGAAACACTCTTGGAGGTGAGTAAGCTGTTCTATACACAGGGATTCAAATTTGGGTGCACTAAATTGCATCCAGTATTTCAAGCCCTGATACAATTTTTTTATACAATATCCAATTATAGACCTGTTTACCTTTTAGGGATTGCAAGAACTGCTTACGTCACAGGGGGGACATTTCGAATAGAACGCCATTCTAAGCAGTAAGCAGTTCATGCGATCAGTGAAAGGTAAACTGGTCTATTTCTTTGCACTTCTGATGACAATTCACTACTAAGTATCTGATACCAGCCCAGAAAAGAACAAGAAACAGTCATGCCTTCAAATATCAGAGTTATCAACCAAGAATTGAGGTGTTCAAAAACTCGTATTTCCCCAGAACTATCGTAGACTGAAACTCGTTGCTGGCCAAGCACAGTTGGGGCATCATCACTAGAAAGCTTTAAACTTAGAACTTTTTGTCATAATCTACCACAGTGTTGAAGCTGCAGTCCAGGCGTTCACAGTCGCTCGGCCCCCTGGGATGTACAAAGGTCACTACCTGGAGGAGTTGTTCCGTCGCTATGGCGACCCCGATGACACGCCCCCGGCCCCGCCACTCCCTGATTGGTGCACGGAGTCAGATGACCTGGACGATGACGGCAACCCCGCCCAGCAGCCGGCCAATGGGATGAAAGGAGGAGGTCGGAGGGCAGGGGGCACGACCTATAAGGTTTAGTTTTTTTAGTTTATTTTATGAAGATTTACCACATTTGCAGAAGGGTTGACATAATTTAACAGGTGACTATCACCTCTTCAAGATGTCAAACCTGAGACCAGACTGTAAGGTTTTAACCACTACGCCACACGACCCCACATGTGAAAGACATCTTATCTAGCTTTGTATTTGTTTTTGTTAATCTATTTGTATGTTCATTTATTTGTATCAGTCTTGTTTGGACCCTCAGGTTATAATTAGTGTCAGTATAAAGTTTAATTGTTGGTGTTCCATTACTGTTAATGATAATTATTTCTGAATGTTAGTAAGTTTGTCTGTTTCCTTAGTTGCTTTGGTCCTAGGTTGATATTGTATGAACAAGGTAATATTTGGTGTTTATTGTGTGTTTCCGTAGCCCTTTATGGACGGGCTGGTTCCAGGAGTTGACACGGTGATGGACCAACCGAGACTCAGAAACGTGCAGCAGAAAGTCCAGCACATGTGCGGATGGAGAGGGTGAGACGATACTTCTGTTGTACATGTGTGCTACAGCTGTGCTACTTCTGTGCTACATATGTGCTACTTCTTCGCTACATCTGTGCTACATGCATGCTAAATGTGTGCTATACCTTTGCTACATGTGTGCTATATTTGTGCTAATGTGTGCTACTTCTGTGCTATTCCAATGCTACATATAATTTGTTGTGTTCTAAGCTCCAGTTTTGGATGAGAAACAATAATCCAACCCTTTGTAACATTTATGTAGTCATGTGTATGTTTTGTAAGTTACATAATATGTGTTCTACATGTATGTGTGTTCTGTACTTAAATGTGTATACTTTAGTTAATACATTGCATGTTTGTTACATGTTTGTTCTGTAGTTACATGTGTGTTCTATGTTAACTTTGTCCTATACAATGTCAATGACATACATATTGTGTGTTCTACGTAATACTATGTTCTTCTTCTAGACAAGGATTCCCGGGTGCCCAGCCTGTGTCCATGGACAGGAGGAACCTCAGTTTTCTGGCACAGAAGCCGTATAAGGTCAGCTGGAAGGCTGATGGGGTCAGGTAAGGTCACCTGCACGTAAGCATGTCTTTTAGTTATTCATTTATTTCAACACCAAAAAGCAAACGTTGCAGCAGGGATGAGAATCCCTGAGTTGGAAGAGTTTGCGTACAGAAAAAAAAGTTACAATAAGCAGGACAGGCGATATATACAATCCCTCATATACACTATAATACATAAAAAATTTGTACCAAGCCAAAAAAACTATGTACAGATGAAGTTTAGGAAAGATAAAACTAGTGATGTCGGCAGAGCGTACTGCACCTGCATGAAACCTGTAATGTATTGTGCATAGCACTTACTGACAGAAGAACGTCTCATATAAGGTTGTACTCACATATATAATTATATGTAAGGTTAACACTCCGTCTGTAGTTTCCAAATGTTATGTCAGGAAAAGAATATATATTGTTTGCAACATGCAAAATTCTGATGCAACGTTGACCAAAACCATGAAAAATCTGGGTTTTCAAGTACACCTTCCCTGTAACATCCCCCTGTAGACTGACCCCCCCCCCCTGTTTCTGACCCCCCGTTTCTCTACCCCCCTTGCAGGTTGATGCTGTTAATAGATGGCCCCCAGCAGGTATATCTGGTAGACAGAGACAACACAGTGTTCCACGCACCACAGCTGACCTTCCCACGGAGAAAGGAGCCAGACAACCACATCGCTAACACTCTACTGGACGGGGTAAGTACTTGTGGCAGGTTTACTGTTATACATGTAGTAGTGCATGTTTTGAAAATAAAAATAATTTCATCCGGTTGGTAAGTCATTGAGTAAAGAGACTCTGTTAACACTACCAAGTTGGCTGAATAAAAGACTTGGTTGTGTAAAAAGAGTCTCTTTAGTATAGTAGTGCATGTTCCGAAAATAATTTCATCAGGTTGGTTGACCATAGGATATTGTGATTTTTCTTATTTATACACAACCAGGAATTCTTCCTACCTTGCTTACATTTCAATGTCTATCAGACACCTACCTCAGAGCTTCTGACTAGTAGTAGTAGTCCCACCTAAATTGGCTAGGTATAGCAGTACTCCAGTCAGAAGCTCTGAGGAAGGTGTCAGAACTGAAAGGAATAACAATTTTTCCTATCATGGTTTTGCAGGAGATGATAATAGACAAAGTGGCAGGAAAGGACCGACCCAGATACCTGGCCTACGACATCATCAAATTTGAGGTAAATACTAGTACATGATTGTACTTCTTGTTCACTGCACCTTCTTGGTGTGAGTGGATCAAACCTTACTTTCTAATTTTACGTAGCTTGTGGTACTGTATAAAACTGGTGTGTCTAAAAAACAACATGTTTAGCAGGATTTACAGAAGACGTACATCAGAGTCACATCATGTGCCTGTGAAACTGGCTGCATAATAAAATTTAGATTTAGACATTGACAGGCCATTTTTCATTGACAAGTGAAACTCTACTACTTGATAACTAATGCGGAGATTACTTCCGGACATTTGGAGTCTTAAAAATCTTGTATTCTCTGCCTTCCCCAGGGCCAGCCAGTAGGGGAGTGTGATTTCTCGCGGCGGCTCCTGTGCATCCGGAAGGAGATTGAGGAGACTCGGGACAGTAAGGCTCAGGCCGGCGCGCTGGACAAGTCACGGGAACCCTTCAGCGTGCGACACAAACCCTTCTGGGACATCACCATGTCACCAAAGGTCAGGCCATAGGTTAGAGGTCATTATGCGAAAAAGGACATGTCAAAAGTCAGGTTCATGACATTGCCTTTAAAAGCTTTACATTCTCATCAAGGATTTCATTCTATAGACAAGACAATGTGCTCAAGAGAAAAACCCAATTTAATGGTGTCTTGTACATGTACATGTAGGACTGATGAGTGAACTCTCTTGTACATGTTGGAATGTGAAAAAAGTTGTTTGGGTTGTATTTCACTGAAAATGTAAGTTTGGACACTATTGAGGCATGCTATTTTTTTTACAATTAATCTAGTACTAAACTGTCAAACCATGGAGCAACAAGGTTGCACTTTTACCTAGCTACAATGTTGCATGGTGTAGCAGAATATTGATGACCTGCCCCCCCCCCTGCAGCTCCTGGATGGTAGCTTCTCGTCCCAAGTGAGTCATGAGGTGGACGGGCTCATTTTCCAGCCGGCGGGGCCCAAGGATGTGAGTTGGACTTTCTTCTTCTTAAGACGCTTATCTTCACATTCACATGCCATCTTCTGGAGTATTTTATTTCACTTCATGTGTGTGTATTTTTAGCAACTGTAGGAACATTGCAAAATACAATATACAAGTACAGACATTTATTTATACAAATATGGACATTTCTATGCCTGCCTACCTGCCTATATGCACAGGCCAGGTACTGGCCCCTTGCTTCCCTTCGTTTCTATGACATCTTATTAAATCTGGTGCCTCACTCATCCGTTTCTATCTGGTGCCTCACTCTACAAAATATGATATACATGTAGTATATACATTGTACTTACTGTATCAACTATAATCAGGTTTAGGAAGAGACCTGGATCTGGACTTGACCTGACCCAACCCTATTGCACATACTGTCTATCTAACCGTGTCTTTCCTGTTCTATCTGTGTAGAAATACGTGGGCGGTAGGTGTGACGACATCCTAAAATGGAAACCTCCGACGCTGAACACCATCGACTTTAAGCTGCAGATCAGGAAGGAAGGCGGGGAGGGGTGAGTTGTTTGTGATTATAGTGTGTTGTAGTGCTGTAGTTATATTGGGGAGGCAGTATTATGTGATTTCCAAATAAAAACCTACTACGTCACACACACACACACACACACACACAAACACACAGACCCCAAACCAGGCTAGGTAAGGAAGGAAGGAAGGCATGGATGGGTAAGTCTGAGTTCCAGTTTGTAGTACTGTTGTTACATGTATATTGGGGAGGCAATATTATGTGATTTCCAAAGAAAAGCTTACTACGTCAAACACACACAGAACTTTGCTATGATTGAATGTCTTCATTCAAACTGATTTTTTTTACTATTGCAGAATGCTGGTGGAGACGAAGGGGTTTTTATATGTTGGAGGTTTTGATCAACCGATCGCTCAAATGAAGGTGAGTTGGAGTTTTCAAATACAATCATGTTACAATTGACTAGAAAGGTAACATTTTCAAAGGAAAGGCATAACGTTTACCTTCACCTGGTCTATCCCAACAAATTACTTTGTTTATTCTCACTCAAACACACCGAGTCTCATAACACTGGTCAGTTTAAATTGGGAAGTTCAGTTTCCCGATTTCAAGGCGGCCATCTTGGTCATCCAATTTTCTAACTTTTTTTCTACTGAAGATAAAGTACACTTTTACATGTCATTGCAAAGAGCATGATTTCCCCTGCATCATGATGTCTTTAATTTGGTCATAACGTGTAACATTATGAAGATATTCCGTTTTGAAAGTTGCCCAGGCCAGTGGTCTATTGGCTGGACCATGTGAACAACACACAGACCACACTTGGTTATGCACAGAACACAGTGGCCTAGCAGTAGCCCACTCCAATGCAAATGAGTTATAATTGGCCTGTCCACACTGAACAAAGCACTCGCATAATGAGTTATCACACCTTGCTTGTCAGACCATGGTCAGACCACTGGCCTGCGCTGGGTTCAATGGGCCAGGTGATTAGAGGTGTGAAGTCCAGTCTGGCCAGGGCCAAGACCACAATGGCCTGGGCCAATCAACACCTTGTTGTTTATACAGCCCACCTGGCCTAAATTATAGCCCATACATGGTTTTCCCTCAGACCAGTGGTCTAATGCATTTTCAATCAGTCATATCTAAGCCTATGAACATCACTAGCTAATAATTTTCACATGACTACTTTCGTGATGAAAAGAGCTTTCAGATGATACCACACTTATAGGCAGAAATTTGATATTTCTGAGGTTTCCCAATTGCTTCTGTTTTTCCCAATTTGAACTGACCAGTGACATATATATGGTGACGATGCAGCCCCTCTTGAACTCAATTCTGCATGGCACCAGTTACCATGGTGACAGACGTCTGGGTCTAGTCATTGACCTTACTTGTTTGGAACGGAAGAAGAAGAAGAAAAAGAACCTGCACAAAAACAATATGTTTTCTTTTGGTAAACATAGAAATAAATAAAGACATTGAAGAAGAGCAATTAATACATATTGAATAAGCATACACAGATGTACAAAATGAAGCAAAGTAAAACATCCACCTTCTCTCCTGTTGCAGGTGACCAAAGACCTGAAGAAGTATGACAGTAAGATCATTGAGTGTAAGTTTGACGGGGTGACGAAACAGTGGGTGTTCCTACGGGAGAGGACGGACAAAAGCTTCCCCAACTCCTACACAACCGCTGTTGGTAGGTATTACAAGAGTTTCCCAACTCCGACACAACTCCTACACAACTTCTACACAAATCCTACACAACTGCTGTTGGTAGGTATTAAAAGAGCTTCCCAACTCCTACACAACTTCCACACAACTCTTACACAACTCCTACACAACTGCTGTTGGTAAGACTTTCTTTCTAAAACTCCTGTAGGGAGTACTTTAAGGGCTGTTTTGTTGAAAATCGGTCTGTTTTTACAGAGATGGCCCCTCTATAAATAGTTTATTGGTCAAACATTACCTGAGTGTGCAATCGCAGCCTTTTTATAGTGCTGAATTGATGCAGGGTTTAAAATCACATAATGCAGAATGATGATACATATTTGCTCCGCATACACTTTTGTGGAACTGTCAAGGGTCTGTGCGGTTGCCATTCGGTGCCACCAGGTGATCTCAATACGACTTTCCGCAACCGAAGTTACATGTAGGTACCCATTCACACCTGGGTGGAGTGAGGAAAGTCATGTTAAGTGCCTTTTCCAAGGGCACAACATCGGGGTGCCTGTCCAGACATGTCCTGGACTGCATTTCTCTTACTTGCACCACCTTCTCTACAAATGGTATATAGAGATCTGTTTACAGAACCAGTAACCAAGGAGATGTGTTTTGTTTCCTTCCCAGCTGTGTTCGAGAGCATCCAGAACCCGGTAACCAAGGAGATTCTCTTCGAGTTCATCACGAAATCGAGGTTCCAACAGCACCCTCCTCCCCACGGCTCGGTGCACCCTCCCCCAGGGTCCTCCCACCCTCCCCAATCATCGCTGAACAGTCCCCATGGCCAGAAGAGACCGGCACAGGGAGAACACTTAATGCCGCCTCCACAGAAAATGCCCAAAAGATAAGGCTTCTCGGAGACATTTTGAAGTTTCTTATTTTCATAAAAGTTCATCTGTGTTAGTTGTAATAGTAAAACGTTGAACTTTATTCCAACACAGAGTTTACAGAGAGATCAAATCTTCAGCGACCACTGTCGCCTTCATCAGGATAATTAATGACCAATCACTTCACAATGTGATCTCGCCAGAGTAAGGTTGATCTCTCTGTAAATTTTTTCGTTGGAATAAAGTTCAACGTTTTTCAAAGTTTCTTATTTACTGTTTGTTGAGACCAGTTTGTTGCTTATTTTTGGAAAGACACTGAGAATTCTTTAGAAGATGTTACTCATTTTCTATATGTAGGTACGAACAAAATTCAAGGCACTGATGACTAGATACAGGGGGACTCTTGCGAATTGCACTGTCAAACCACATGTAAAACTTCACTGTGCATTCACCAACAAAATCTACATGTATTGTGTTGTTAAGTGTAGACTGTGTTTATATATGAACATATTTTCTGTGTCTTTCCATCATTCAAGTGAAAAGTGTTTGTTAACTTGCTGTTCCCGTTCTGTGACGGGGTTTACTTGTATAAAGACAAACATAACATCCAGGTTGCATTAAAGTTTGGAAAGCCGTTTTTCAAATTTAGAGGCCTCCCTCTTTCAATAAACCGGGAAAACTGTGATATCTAGTCATTCTGGTAGTCTATATATTAAAAACTTTTCAGTTTTGATTGACAGTTTAAGGGAAAAAATATTTTTAGCTTAGGAAAGAGAATTAAGTTGTGAATAAATACACTATGCAGACAGTCAACATATTGTTTAGTACATTTTTTATTACAGAAGTCATAAAGAGTTGGAATGGGACAGGGTTATTTCATTTTCTATTATTGCTTTGAATGGTTTCCTTTAATTCATAGATAGAGGGATCATATATGTTACAAATTTAGCTTAAGAGTTTGGGTCAGTATCATTTTTGAACCTCAATACATTATACCATTTTTATAAAGGTAAATGATTTCTTATTACAATTATTATTTTCTTCCATAGGGAAGTGTAGCAATTTCAAAACTTATTGTAATATATATAATAATTGATTCATTTTCTTAGAAAGCTAGTTACTTATTTTGACGATCCCAAAAGTGAGTGACAATAATTCAGTGGGTACATTTTGAGTTATCCACATCAAAATTTTCAATGGGCACCACAAGTAGACTTTACTTGAAATTGTTACTTTTCCTATAGTTTTTTTCTGCTTGTACAAAAAATTGGTAGTTGGGGTGTAGCTGATATTTGGTATGGTCTTCGTGTTTTGTTTTGTTTTTCGAATACACCCCTTATACAATCGAGACTTGTTTTCGCCCTTACGACTTTTTTCGGTATGCTGACACCCCTCAGACTGCCCACACTTAGTAAAGTCCTTGGTACATCTGTTATTTGAGGTGCTAGCTACTCTCCAAGCAGAGGTGGGGGGCACTTTCAATATATGTCCCTTTTTTGTCCCTACCCCTTCCAACGACAGAAAAAAACGGGGCATATTTTGAAAGCTAACGATCTTCCCCTCCAACGTCTGCTTGGAGATTAGTGCTGGCGACAGACACCCCTCAAACGGCCGATACTTGGTACGGTCCAGACGACGTCTCCTTATTTGGCGTGCTTGCAGCTGAGTCAGACAGCTCCTCTTCCTTATTTGGCCCCACGACGGTCATGATAACGGGCATAACAACCACAGCATGAAGCACCACTAGTGCGCACAGCGTAAAAACCGCTTGGAACAGGCTGTAGAATATATAGGACGGTGCTGTAGTAAACGGTAGAACTACAAACATTAGTGTAAAACACGTTTGCACAACCGGCATACTGTAATACACAAGCGTTGACTGCATACAACTAGTCCTAGTCGGGCCTTGCGCGCGCACGAACGCAAACACGATCGGGGAAGTAGCCTGGATGCAGAATCCTGCAGCGAAGACTGAATAGCCTAACGTGGCTGCGTCGAGGTTAGTACCCAGGACCGTCAGGAAGCCTATGAGGCCTGTCATAACAGACATGGTTAAGAACGCCACCCACATGCTACTACGAAAATTAGTCACTGTGAACAACGCGAAAACTAAGAAACAGAAACCGGCGATTCCAAGATTTTCCAACGCTTCGGGTAAAACTGGCGCAAACTGGTCTAGGAACATGAAAGCAGGGTTGTAGACAGTCACGTTTAGGTCGCTTTCTCTGGCAACTTTTCTTGCCGAGTTCATAACTTCGATTAACTCCTCGTAGTTTGCCGTTTTCTTGGTTTGGAGGAAAATCCTGCTTCCAATGATGCCTTTTCGGTTGTTTTTGAAGACGATGTCGTTCCTGTATCTGTAAAAAGCCGTGGTGTTGAGAAAGTGGCGTTGAAGCCTTTTCATGTACTTCTGTCGGTCGACGCGCTTTCGGCCGACGAACGTGTGCAGGTAGGCGCGGTAGTCTCGGTACCAGGCGTCTGTATCGGGTGCTGAAACGTAAGGGATAGCCTCAAAAGTCCTGGTGAGGTTTTCAAGGCCTTCCTGTACCGCAGGGTCCCAGTAGCGTAACTCTCCGCGAAAAATCACCGCAATCCGTGGCCCGAACTCTGTGAAGTAGTCCTCCTCTACACGAAAGAACTGGCTTGACTGCGACTCATAGTTGATAAGAGTTTTAGGAAGAATTCCTTCCCTAACTTGCAAACATCCAACCAAACTAACCGACAGATACGCGCAATAGAGTAGAATAATGAACGGTTTTAGGTAGATCTGTGTGATGAAGGGTGCGTAACTTTCTTTGATAAACTTCATGAACGGATGCAAAGGAGATTCCTGATCATCCGCAGCCCCTGCGCGAGTTACCACAGCTTTGGTATCCGCGGAGTTCTGCAGCCCACCTCCGCAGAGCAGATTGGCTAGCCCCGTCCTTTCTGCCTCCTCAGACTGCAACAAGATGCAGTGGAGACGTCTTGCCTCGCGTCTTCCCGTGAGAGATAAGAAGACGCCGAACATCGTAATGAAATATAAGAAGTTGAAGAGGAATAGGACGAAGCCGTACAGACAGTAGGTCCGGATGACGGGGACGGGCGTGATGGCGCCAACACCGAAAAACACCACCTGGGAACAAACAGGAAATACATTAACTTCATCTACATCTCAGTTCAGTTCAAACATTTGATGATTTACCATGTACTATCGTAAAAGTTCATCAATGTTGGTATCTCCATCTATTCAATACTGGGCCAAGCCCCATATAGGGTCTCCCGCCCAGGGTTTTGACAGATGAGGCCAGTGGGGTGAGGGTGCTCCTTAAAATGTAACCCAAAATGTAATCTAACGCCACATGGTATCAGCTACAGCACAAGTTGCCACGGTGACAGACGTCTGGTCCAGGTCATTGACTTTGTTTGTAGAAGAGGAAGAAACTGAGCAAAAACAATAGTAAACGACGTCTGGTCCGGATCATTCACTTACTAGTAATTTGTTTGGAGAAGAAGAAACTGAGCAAAAACAATGGTAAACATAAGACGGAAAGTACCGACAAAGGAGTTACAGAGAAAGACCCCACCTATATGACGTTAGTGAAAACTATGGAAACCACGGTATTTGTAATTTCCGCACCCATAGTGTAAAATAATTGCTGAATTGTTACTTGCTATATAAAAGCACGGTTTTGGATACAACAATCACTGTATCCTGAAATCTTTTATTGTTTTACTCAATAAAAAAAGACCCCACCTGGATGACGTAAGTGAAGACCATGGGAACCACGGCGCGCCGGTAGGTCTCCGACATCCGGGTCCTGACGTCATCGCGCTCGTTCGTCTGTCGCCATGACGACAGCATAGAGTACGTGTCGTGGAACGAGGACCCTGGGAACGAGATGAGATGGATCAGTAATAGCGTAGTGAAAGCTTGTTGTCTATATGCAATCAGAAATAGCACATAAAAGCTCCTAAAGACCCTGAAAATCCCCCAACCTCCCAGTTTTTGGCATGTGGAGGCTAGCAAAATACAGTGTCTAATCACCAGAGAGGGTTCAATACGCCACCCATGATTAGGTTTATGATGCATTGATGCCTGCGACTTTCTGCAGATCCTTGGGTGGCGTATTGGACCCTCCCTGACAACTGGATACTGTCTTTTGCCACCCTAGGATCTTCTTGGAGATTATGCCGACTGTACGTCGGCGAAGGTTAGACATCCAGGTAATAAAACAGTTACTCAATCAGCAGGATATGATTTTGGAAACGGTCAGACGTTTCAGGTAGCATCCACTACCTTTCGTCAGTGACACTGGAGAATTGTCGCAATCAATATATAGATCGTACTCATAAACCTGCTTTTCTGACAACTCTCCAGTGTCACAAAAAAACAACACATTTTTCATGGAGGTAATAAGGCAAACCCCAAACCTCTGCTTGGAGAGTAGCCCGGGGTTCAATCGGCCATCTGGCAGATTGGATGCCGGCTGTTCCATCAGCAAGATGGATGACCGTGTGGCCTCACAAATTACATTTCACGAAAGGGCCCTCGTGTGTATGGGGTTATTATCTTAATGCGGTTTGACCGGCCATGTGTTGTTTCGTTGGTGAAGGTTAGACATCCAGGTAATAAGATACGCCAAAAAACAGTTACTCAAGTAACAACTGGATATGATTTTGGAAACGGTCAGACGTTTCAGGTAGCATCCACTACCTTTCGTCAGTGACACTAAAGAACTGCATGAGGATTTCAGTTTATAAGCGCGAACTAGTGATCGATATGCAAATAAGTGAAGACATGAATACATCGTAAAAGTCCAGTGCTAGTATCACAAAATCGGATTTGTGTAACCCAGAGGACTATTTTTCATATTTACGTGTATGGAGTTATTATCTTAATGCGGTTTGACCGGCCATGTGTTGTTTCATTTTCGTCTCTGTTAAAGGCGTCCAATGCGATTTCAGAGCAGCAAAACTAGACATATTCTGAATAAGGCAATTTGTATGATATTGACACATACTGCTTCACATTATTGACACATTTGAGTCAGCATTTCATACTTTAGGTATTTAAAACTGCAGAAACAAGCCCCAAGATGAGTCCTTTATTTTCTGGGTGGTATCCTAAAAATTAATCAGCCCAGGTCCTTCCAGTAACCGGCTTTTGTCAGGATTTGGGGCATTTTTTGTTCCATGAATGTCGACATACATTGGGATAGTTTTTTTTTTATTCCAACATGTAATCACCAGACGTGGAGACGGCACACTCAAGTTTTTTTCAACTTAAATTAATGCCGCCACCAACACAGGGGACAAATACATGACAGGACAATACTCATTTTCACCTGAGCGAAGTGAAGAAAGTCGTGTAAAGTGCCTTTCCCAAGGGTACAAGATCGGTGGCATTTCAGGACTCGAACCCGGGACCTCTCCGAGTCGCGCACTCTGCCGCTACGCCACACGACCCCACTTGGGACAGCTTGTTTCAGCGTAGTATAAGTAGAAGCGAGCCCGGAGAAACACGCTGTGATGACCCCGCCTACCCCGAGCAGCGGGCTTGCTCAGCGTACAATCTAACCTGGCTCCCGACAGGGTGGTGGGCAATAGTTGCAGTAGAAGTTGGCCAAATAGACTGAATAGCGTATGGAGTTCAATTTGCAACCTATTAAATATGGATTTTCAATTTATTTGGTCAATTTGTACTACTATACTGTATAGTATTTTTCAGCAACCAGCCGGGAGCCTGGTAGAGGCTATATATTGACAATTCGTAAGTAAATTTCTCCCCACTTACCCAACAGTACGGGTAGGGGTACCAGGGTGGTTGTAAAGGCACCGCCACAGAGGCTGACTGAGACCTGATGGCAGCCTGACAGAGGCTAAGGACAATGCGTAATCAACGATTCTTTAACAGGGGCTGGCTCAGTCCACAATCTAACCCGACTCCCAATTGCTAACACTTACCCAGTAACAGTACGGGTAGAGGTACCAGTGTGGTAGTGAAGGCCCCGCCGCAGAGACTGATGAGGCCTGCCGAAGCGAGCCCGGAGAAACACGCGGTGACCACTCCGCCCACTCCGAGCAGCGGCTTGCTTCGCACGCAGTCGGCGGTGAAACACAGGGCGCCCGTACAGAAAACTGCCAGCAGCACGGTACCTGCAAACCTGCGACAATAAGATCAGTATTGTGAATTTGCAGTAGTACATACTATTATTAGTGACTTTTACGGCAAGCCGGCACATGCTGGCCTTTTGCGACATTTATGGGTCGGTACTGTATTGTGTTCCGTGGGGTTTCGACAGCCTGGGTGCGGTCCTCCGTAGTTACCGACGGCTCCCTATAGACACTAGCTACCATATGGACTACATGTACGTACAGCACGGTACTGGCAAACCTGGGAACATACAGTGGTAAAAAATACTTTTTTTTAGTCTTCTGCAATATTGCAGATTGTTAAAATTTTGTTCTACAATACAGACCGGAAGACCTGGAGGGCCGTATGCAGAGGCGCTACGCCCCCGGGGGGGGGGGGGGCATGCGGAGCTGAGTGAGTGATACAGAAATACAAATACGTGTGCACATTTAGTAACGAGTCCAAACCTAAAACCATGGCATATGCAAAATTGCAGTTTGGCAAACATTTTAAATGCAATTTGAAAACCACACATAAAATTACTAATATATTACAGAGTCAGTAGTAAACACAAAAGCTCCTAAAGGATATATTTTTAAAAACTGCAAACCTTGGCGAAATCCCGGCACTGTTCTCCAAGTATTCCCTCTCCAAAGTCCGAGACGTCGACACCGCAAGTCTCAAGTCCGGAGGATTGAGTCCAAGAAGTTTCTTCTCCACTTGGTCTTCCCAGAGTTTGGAGACGTGGTCGTGTAGACTGTCGTTTGTTCTGAGGTAGTAGATCAGCTGCACAGCGCCTGCTGAAGCCACGGAGGTTAGGAGATTCCGAATCGGGGCTGGTACGATCCTACCAAGAAGGTTTCCTACAATGAATGAATGAATGAATGTATGAATGAATTTTATTATTGTGTCTTGCGACATTGTCACCCAACCTACATTGGCTTATAAGACACCAGTACAGTCACATGATTGAAACATAAAAAGAAAGTAAATATAAATCCAAGTCAAATGAAAGGTTATACCGGTGACATCAAATAAAGAACTTATTACAACGTTAAAGTGGTACATAACAAAGTTGGTACAAAAGAGTCAACTCAAAAGTACATAAAGTAAATTTAGGTAAATGCATACCTACAAATAACCTCCTTCCGTCTTCAAGCAAGGTTACTGGGTAGGATAAGGAGCCTTGGCTGATGTCTAAGACATGGAGAAGGCGGCGGAAGTCTTCGCCGACGCACTCGCCGTCTTGGAACGCGCATACGTCGGCGTAAGAAAAATTCGCTCCTCCGAAAGTGACGATTTCGTCCGTGACTAGGGTGTCCACCCACCGGACCCATTGGAGATATCTCTCGGTTAGGATGTTGCCTTCTCCCGGTGAAGTCAGCACGACCCGTACGTAGTTTCCATCTCCGTGCTGAACCGGGTTCCGGTACTCCCACGGTTCCTGGAATTGATTAATTAATGAGTTACAATCAATCAAAATCTTCTTAAGTTATCGTGCTAAACTACACACACACACACACACAGAGAGAGAGAGAGAGAGAGACATACACACACACACACACACACATACATACACGCACATACGCACACACACACACACATACACACACACAGGCACACACAGGCACACAAACACACACACACTCTCTCTCTCTCTCTCACACACACACACACACACACACACACTGTCTCTCTCACAAACACACATACACAAACGCTATGGAAAACATAACCTTCTTGGATAAACAAGCAAAGAAACACACCTGCACGGGGAACAGTTCTCCCAGCGCCTCCCGCTCCTTTCTAGCCGGTGCGTTATACGGAGAAAACAGCGCATCGATGTGGGAGTCGGTTCGGACGTGGCTGAGACCTGCCCCGAGCAGTCCGCTTAAACACAGCGGTCCGACCAGGAAGAAAACCTCGTGGCGGGACACGAAACAGCCGAAAAATCCGAACCAGGTTTTGAGATTCTTCTCGATACAGTCGAATAACATGTTGTTGTATTTGTCGGTCTTCAAGCAGATCTTTGGTGGCTGTAAAAATAAAGAAAGCCATATTACACCATGGAGGTAGAAATTCAACCTCTATGTTACACGAAGAAGCGAAAAAATCCGAACCAGGTTTTTAGGTTCTTGAGCTATTGGTTAAAAACGGCTAAAAACATGTTAAAATTAGTCGCTGATCACCAAGTAGATCGTGATATTTTAGTGGCTGCAAGACAGTGTCAAATTGGCAGGGCAGTGTCCAATAGCAATACGCCACTGAAGTATAGCGAAAAATAACAGATACCGCTACAAAAATTTTGATACAAACGTCTAAAAACAAGTCAAAAATACACCATACCTTAACCCTCTCTGCTTGAATACTATATTTTGACAGCTACAACAGAAAATGTGCCTGATATGTACACTAAAATAGCACCACAGACTGGTCGACTGACGCCGACGCCACGCCCGCAAAAACCGCCAGCACATTAAAATCGATTTCTACAAATATCTTAATAAATTGTCGGCACAAGCAAGCGGCTGTCCTATACAATAAACTAATGGCTGTGGTGATAAAAAGGTAAACAGGGCTCAAAATTAACGGTATCCAAATGGCCACTGACCACTAACATTTTGGCCGGGACAACCAACTATAAAGACACGTTGGGGCATTTTTGCGACAATAGAAAAATAATCAACATCATAATGTCAGCCCTCCTTTCGTTTACCAGGCACACGTCCCGCCCTTTTGGCTCCGGAAAAGTTCCCGCAGATGTCCTGTCTACTCGGTATTGATTTAATCAAGCGCTGTGTTCGCCCTGGGACGGCGGACTGATTAAATGGACGGGAGATGGATTTTGTGTGAGCCTCTTAGGGCCAACCACGGGTCAGCGGTACATGTATCTCCGAGCAGATGTGTTTTGTGACGGCGTAACCGAAATGATTATGATAAAGATGGCGATATTCACATTATCATGAATAGCAAGATGGAAATGAATAAGCAGAAAACTGTCCCCAGTGTTGAGATATACTAATTATCCACTTCCATCAGGATCGTGTGGCGTAGCGGAAGCGTCTTCGGCTCGGAACCAAGAGGTCCCGGGTTCGAATCCCACCATGTCACCGATGTTGTGCCCTTGGGAAAGGCACGTAACACAACTTTCCTCACTTCGCTCAGGTGTAAAGGAGTATTGTCATGTCATGTATTTGTCACCTGTGTTGGTGGCGGCATTTGTACGGCGTCGATATGTTATAACGTCGCTGTTTAGGATGCTAGGCAGGGGAATATGGTTCTCAGTGTATTATAACTTAAGAAAGAGTACCAGCGAGAAATGAAAACTAATCAACTGCAAACAGGATTCACTATTCCAAGTTAATACAGTTTTATTAAAAAAATTGCAAACGACACAAACATATGACATTACATGCGAGATTGATCTTCCCTCTTTTTTAAGCAAGAATAATGGTACTAGTCATGAATTTCATTCTGCCTTAGGGCGTGTCTTCCTTGCACAAAAATCAGTGCATTTAAAAACGACCATTAACAATGTTTATAAGGACATGTGTAATTCAAAGAAACCCTGCAGTACACTAATATATGCTTTTGACTATATATGTAAAAACTATTCAATATCACATTAGTAGGTACTCATTTCGGACTCGGACTGTTACCAAGTCAGACCATCGCAAATATCTGGTCAACTCGGCCCACCGTCCTGGTCAACTTGATCCACTACCCTGGTCAACTCGATCAACTCGGTCCACTACCCTGGTCAACTCGGTCCACTACCCCTGGTCAACTCGGTCAACTCGGTCACTACCCTGGTCAACTCGGTCAACTCGGTCCACTACCCTGGTCAACTCGGTCCACTACCCTGGTCAACTCGATCCACTACCCTGGTCAACTCGGTCAACTCGATCCACTACCCTGGTCAACTCGGTCAACTCGGTCCACTAC